AGTTTTGAAGTGTAGACAATGCTGTATAGCAAGAAAAATGGCATCATTCAGCAGTATTAAAGAGCTGGAGTGAGTGAATAAGTGATTGTTGAAGATAAGAAACTTTCGGAATGGACTTCACAATTGAGTGGTCGATGCATCTAGCTGCAGATGTAGCTAAGAAACAATGATCAGGTCTGGCAGCATCTGTGAAGGAAAAAACTGAGTTAATGTTTCGGGTCCAGTTCTGAGGAAGGGTCACTGGACCCGAAACGTTAACTCTGTTTTATCCTTCACAGATGCTGCCAAACCTGCTGAGCTTTTCCAGCAACTTTGTTTTTGTTCCTGATTTACAGCATCCACAGTTTTTCAGTTTTTATTAAGAAACAATTATGTTTTGTAATGAATGAACCAACATGGGCCAACACCATATAATTGGAAAAGGGCAGCAGTGAGTGAGGAGAAAAGGCACCAGTGAGCAGGGGGAGAGGGTGAAGGAGGAGATCCTCCCATCAGCAATTAGTTGGGTAAGAGTAGGGTGCACATTGGAAGTCATCCCAACAGCAGTCTGAATGCGGGGTGGCACATGAAGGTTCTCCAAGCAGGCAGCGGTGAGCGGGTAGGTGGTGAGGCCTGGGGTAAGAAGAAGATCTGCCTAGCAGCAAGTGCAACACTGAGTAGCAGGAAAAGAGGTTGTCCCAGCAGCAGGTGGCCATGAGTACCCAGAGAGTCATACAGCATGGAAACAGACCCTTTGGTTCAACTCATCCATGCTGACCAATTTTCCCAAACTAAACTAGTTCCAATTGCCTGTATTTGGCTTATATCCCCCTAAACTTCTCCTGTTTATACACCCATGCAAATGTCTTTTAAATGTTGTAATTGTACCTGAATCAACCATTTCCTCTGGCCATTCATTCCACATATGAACCACCCTCTGTGTGAAAAAGTTGTTTATCAGGTCCCTTTTTAAATCCTTCTCCTTTCATCTTAAAAATATGCTCCCTAGTTTTGAACTCCATCACCCTCAGGAAAAGAACTTTGCTACTCACCTTATCTATGCCCCTTATGATTTTGTAAACCTCTACAAAGTCACCTCTCAATCTCCTATACTCCAATGAAAAAGTCCTATCCTGTCCTTATAGCTCAAATCCTACAGTTCCAGCAACATCCTGGAAAATCTTTTCTGAACCCTCTCTAATTTAATAATATCCTTCATATAGTAGAGTGACCAGAATTGTACGCAGTGCTCCAAAACTGGCCTCATCAATGTCCTGTACAATCTAAACATGACTTCGTAACTCCTTTGTTTAATGGTCTGAGCAATGAAGGCATGCATGGTAAAGCCTTCTTAAGCACCTTGTCTATGAGTGATGCAACTTTCAAAGAATTATGTACCTGAACCCCTAGGTTCAGAACCTAAGAACATAAAAAATAGAATGACGCCATATGGTCTCTCAATCTGCCCTACTATTCAAGAAGAACATAACTGATCTGTCCCAGACCTCAACTCCTCTTTCATAGTTGTCAATTGCCTGATATTTCAAAAATCTATCTACCTCCTCTTTAAACACGGAAATCCTTTGTATCTCAAAATAAATACAAGTTTTGAATACGTGTCCCCTTATTCTGTAACTATGTCCTCTATTTCAAGATTCCCTAACTAGTGAATCCATAGAATCCCTACAGTGTGGAAACAGCTCATTTTGCCCAATGAGTCCACACCTACCCTCCGAAGAGAATCCCACCCAGACCCATCTCCCTACCCTATCCCTGTGACCCTGCATTTCCCATGGCTAATCCACCTTGCCTGCACACCCCTGAACACTATGGGTAATGTAGCACAGCCAATCCACCTAACTTGTACATCTTTGGACTGTGGGAGAGAACTGGAGCACCCAGTGGAAACCCACACAAACAAAAAGAGAACAGTTGTTCAAGGATGGAATTGAACCCGGGTCTCTGCACTGTGAGGCAGCACTGAGTGACCATGCCACCCTTAATGGAATCATCTTCCTAAAATCTGTCCTGTCAAACACCCTCAGAATCTTGTGTGTTTCAATAAGATCACCACTCATTCTTCTAAACTCTAATGAATAAGGGCCTAACCTGTTTAGCTGTTCTTGATAAGTCAAACTCTTCATCCTGGGAAGCAACGTAGTGAACCACTTTTGAATATCTTCCAGTGCTTGTTCGATTTTAAATATGGGGACCAAACCTGTACACAGTAATCTATGCATGCCCTCACCAAGACACTGAGCATTATGAAATATCAGCCATTGCACATGCACTGACTTTCTTTTTTGTCCATTTACCCAACCCACTTGAGACAACATTTTCTTCACAATCTTTGATCACCCTTATTTAAGCTAAGGACACTTGTTTGACCCCCAAGCTGGACTCTCAGAATCTCTGCAGTGTGAAAAAAGGCCTTTTGTCCCAACAAGTCCACACCGAACCGGAGAACATCCCACCTAATCTTCACATCCCTGAACACTATGGGCAATTTAACATGGCCAATTCACCTAACCCGCACATCTTTGGACTGTGGGAGGAAACTGGTGCACCTGGAGGAAACCCATGCAGACGCAGGGAGAATGTGCAGACTCCACACAGACAGTCACCCTAGGGTGAAATCGAACCTAGATTGCTGGTGCTGTGAGGCAGCAGTGCTAACCACTGAGCCACTGTGCTGCCCGACTCTCTCAAACTGAATTTGTAATTTTACCACGTTTTGATTGTGATTTCCTGGAGGATCCTTAACTACGAGATCTCTGATTAATCCTATCTCATTACACATTACTATATCTAAAATAGCCTGTTCCTTGCTGTTTTGTTTGATGTACTGCTCTAAAATGCAATCATGATGCACTCCAGAAATTTGTCTTCCATGTCACTCTTGCCATTCTAATTTGTCTAGTCAATATTCAGATTAAAATCATCCATAACAACTGTAGTGCCCTCCTTACATGTCCCAATTATGTGCTGACTTATTCTTTGTCCTACAGTAAAGCGTGGCTAACTGAAGACTCCCACCTCTGATTTCTTTTCCTTGCTTTTCCTTATTTTCATGCAAACTGATTCCACATCATGATCTTTTGCACCTATATTACTACTCACCACTGCATGGATACCTTCCATTATTAACAAAGCCACCCACACCTTTGCCTATTTTTCTGAAACATTGAATACCCTTGAATAGTGAGCTCACAGTCTTGGTCACCCTGCAACCCCATCATGTAATAGGTATCAAGTCTCATTAATATATTTCTATTTGTGCCTAGTACAGGAGGAAAGAGGGTCCTTCTAGCAGTAATGAATTGTTTAGGGCAAGGAGATCCTCCTAGCAGCAGGGAGTACCAGAGAGTGTGCAGGAAAAGAAGGTCATTCAGCAGCAGGGACAGCAGTGTGTAGACAGAAAGAAGTCCTCTCATTGCATTGTCTGGGAGAAAGAGGCCCATCTAGCAGGAAGGGGAGCAGTCAGTATAGAGAAAGTATGTTCTCCCAGCAACCACTTTTGGGTGGTGAGCAGGTGGAAATCTTCCCAACAGCATGGCCAGTAGTGAAGGGGGAAGGAGATGCAAAAGAGGCCCTCCTAGCAATAAGGGCAGCAGTGTGCATGGGCAAAGGAGGTCCTCCCAGGTGCAGTGTGTGTTTTGTTTATGGCAGGTGGTCAATGAAGGAGGTCCTCCCTGCAGCATTGTGAGTATTTTGTTGTAATGGGGTGGGTGGACAGAAGAAGGTCCTTCTCGGGGCAGCAGTGAGCGTGGTGAAAAGGAAGTCCTCCCGGCGCTAGGGGCAGCAGTGAGCGTGGGTAAAAGAGGTCCTCCCATCACTTGGGGCAGCAGAGAGTGGGGCGGGCAGTGACGGGAGCTCCCTGTTGCTGGTGGGGGCGCGGCGTGGTTGTGAGCTTTGAGCGCCAGTTGGTGCGGAGCGGCTGAGAGGGACGAACTGGGCGGTTGTTGCCCCCACCCCCGGGTGGGTATGTGACGCTGGGGAGCGCACACTGACTGATTGAAGAGATCGCGCCAGGCGGGGGAGGCAGCTAACGGGCAAACGGTCGCCCGGAGGTAGCGGGATCCGGCGGCACGCTCGGCCCAGACAGTGAGAGAAGAGGCCGGCTGGCGGGCTGGACTGGGCCTGGACACGGAGCCCGGACGCACCGCATCCTCTCCACCCCCCGCCCTTCAATAGAGGCAGATGAGCAGCTCCGGGAACCTGTGTAAGCAATGGTCGGCGGTTGGAGGCAGCTGAACGCTCTCTGAATGATAGCCATGTTAACGAGGAAAACAGCGGCCCCCGGACACTTGGCCACGGGTAAAAGAAGCTCCTGAGTCTCACACCCTGTCTGTCAGTTCATCAAGTACCTCCCGCCTTCCCCTCCATTTCATTCGGGGTTCCTATCAGCTGTCACTACACTCAATTGTTCTTTATAAATCTAATCTGTATCTTAACATCGTATTATATGCTGTTGTATTTCTATTATGTAAAGTCATGGTGGAATACTTTGATCATTTTGAGTTTGTGCTGAAGGACTTAAATCTTAGGCTTGGGTTTCTGTTAATTTCTACCCAAGAGTTTAAACAATGCAGATCCTTCAATTTTTTTAAACACCATAATTTGTATTGTGCAGTTTATGGTTTTATTCTATTCAATTTAGATCACGCTCCTGCAGGCATGTTTAATCTGCCCCCTACCCACTCCATGCTTGCCCTTTTTCATAAAAAAAAGTGATAAACCTACCTCAGATTTCCAGTTGAGGAGTCGCTCTGGGATGAAAGCTCTCCACTTTGTTCTTGTATCATTTAATTTGTTCATTTAATGCAACCACTTGACAGGACAACGACAAACAAAACAGGAATAGCTGGCAAAATTCAGCAGGTCTGGCTGCATCTGTGGAGAGAAAGAATTGATGTTTCGTGTCCAGACCTGCTGGGTTTTTCTAGCAATTTCTGTTTTTGTTTTTGATTTTCAGCATCCTCTGTTCTTTGGTTTTTTTTGTCAGGATGATGAGTCGCACAAGTCACAACAGTGGGACATGTTCAAATGTTTTAATTACAGCATGAGCTTTTGCGAGCGCAAGAGTACGTGGCAAACACCACCCCCTGTGAAAAATGTTCTATTTTGTTATGTAGTTTTCTGCCCTTTAGAATGTATTGTCATGTCCTGATGACTTCAGTTAACTTGTCAATGTCTTGTCATGTATTGTTTGAGCGTTGGGCTCAAGAATGTCTACTTTTAACTTTCTCTTTTCAGCAAAGATTAATTCCGAGTTTTGGCTGTTAAACTAACTAACGTGTTCCATGTTCACACATTCTTGTGAATGGAATATTCTACTTGAACTTTTTGTTTGAAAATAGAGTTAGAATCCAACGACTGATGACTCTAAGTAATTATGACACAACATTGGTGGCTGTTTCTATGGATCCCAGTTGACACACAGATGTTACACATGCTGTCGGTGGCAGATCTTAAAAGTTTTCAGGTGTATTTATACCATATAATAACCATGTATATGGAGTGAAAACTTTAATATTTCACCTCCTTTATGAAGTCTTTGAGGTTGTGAAATATAGTTTGCATAACTTATTTGAACATAGGTAACGTAATTAATTGCTCACCTATATAGATTAATTGTTAATGTAGCAGTGACGTAAATCTAATGAGTTATTGTATAGTTGCATATCTTTCAAAAATAACCTATGATCAGCTCCATCGATAACTCACTTATCACAAAATGTTATGGTCTGTAGATTGCACCTTTATAAATCGTAATCACATTGCCACACAATGCCATCTTGCAATTGTTACTCGACTTTACCTGAGGTTTGCAAACATGCCAAGTCGTGGCACTAATGTTAACCTGCAGCAGGAAACTGAACCTTGTGGGTCAGGTAATCTTTAAATCCAGTGTCTCTTGCACTCCTGATTTTGTTTGATTGCTATCAGTAACGTTGTAACATATTCCCAGTTCTGTTAATCTGGTTAATAAATGAGTGGAACAATGAAATCCAGTCTGTGCTTTACCAAATTGGAAGAGAGAGCTTCTTTCTGAAACTCTGTTTTGTTCAGTACTCTGATCCGTCTATCTGTTAACATCTCATCTTAGTTACTGAAATCTATACTGGAATTGTAGAAATCTCACCACACTTTACGACCCCAAGAATTGTTATAGCTGTGCTGCTGCTGTTTCTACATTGGGTTGCCTGTCCTAATATCAGTTCCATGCTTTATCCCATAGCATTAATATTTTGCTCATTGAAATGTTTAAGTGCCCCTTAAATGTCATGATTGATACTGTTTCAAAAAATGATTGCAATTCCAGTAACACTGTGTTTGCTAACCTCCTCTTCCGCACCGGTGGAACTAAGAACAAGTGGCTACATGCATTCAGATTCTCACAAGTGGAAAAGACTTAAAAACCTCAAAGGAATGACCTTTCTTTTAAAATGCACAGCCATTTTGTACTGTATTAAACTGCTTTCAAAGGAGGGAGAGTCACATAGCTTCCGATACGGAGAACCTTCAGTGACAAGAATGGTTTGCTATTGAAGACCTGGATGACCTTTTTAGATTATTTACTCTTTGGGATGCCTTACAGGATCAGGCTACATTAAAACTTAAACTACACTATGTACCATGTGAGAGAGGCTGGTTTTAGTAAAAGATTGTCATTCTTTTTGCTGGTTTTGCATGTTTTACCAATGCACCTATCACAGCCTGAAGGGGATTAAGACTTCCCAGACCAAGTTTTCTAAAATGTCGCGCATGCTTTTATTTGGCAGGAGAGAAGAGAAAGAAAAATCATTGCAACTTTTAGTGAGGCCTTCAGTGGGGGAAGGCAAGTGGCAACCTGGTGTGAACATAGTCTAGTTGTTCGCTGTAAATTTGTCTCTCTCACATTAGTATTTATTTGCTGAGTCCATCACTGAAGTAATGGTGTGCTTTTGATTTTTCTGTTTACAGCCCAATTTGGGGATGTCTTATATGACTCATACATGCGTGTAGATCAAGCTGAGAGCCAAGCCTTGTGTGTGGAGAAGGAAAGCCCCGTGGGATTGCCATCTCTTAATAGCTTAACGGTAAGCATATTCACAGTGTGTGCCCTACCACAAAATGATGCAATTTTATTATTCTATTAAAATTACTTGCAGGACAGTTTGGTAAATTTTCATCAACCTGACTGAGGAGTTCAGGAAATAGATTCAAATGCAGAGGATTGTTTCTCAGTACTGTAACAGGTTTGCTAAGAAGTATGCAAGTATTATACTTTTATATTTCACCACAATCATCCCCCAATTGCCTCTTTAACTTATTTAGTCCAACATTAGCCCGTGAGGCTGCAGGTGATAGCATTTACGCTGCTGTAGACTTGGATTGTAATTGTTCTGGGGGTATCCAGCAAATTAACTCTAGCTGAGTGAACATACTAACATGAAAAGTAGAGCAGGATCGGCCGTTTGGTCCCTCAATCCTGCTCGGCCATTCATGATTGGTTTGTTTGTGTTTGGAATTCCATATTGCCCCACCTATCCCTGATCTTTGAGTCCCTTGCATGACAAGAATTTATCCACCTCTACATTAAAAACATTTAAATGGCCACACTGACACCATATTCTGAAGCAGACTGCTAAAATCTCTCAATCCTCTGTAAGGGCGCCCCTAATTTAAAAATGTTCCCCTGTTCTGGACATAACCGAGAGGATACTTTCTAAGACTCCCTTGTCAAGATCAAAAACCAAGTTGCTGGAAAAGCTCAGCAGGTCTGGCAGCATCTGTGAAGGGAAAAACAGAGTTAACGTTTCAGGTCCAGTGACCCTTCCTCAGAACTGTGTCAAGACCGTTTAGGATCTTAGACACTTGAATCAAGTCACACCTTCTAAAACCCCAGTGGAAACAAATCCTGTCTACTCAATCTAGATATCAATCTAAGATAGCTTCTCTGACTCTCCTCCAATGATTTTTTAAATAAGGAGACTAAAATTATGTATCTAATTTGAGATGTGGTCTCAATAATGATGTGTATCATTGAAGCATAACTCCTTACTTCTAAGTTCTATTCCTCTCATCATAAAGGATTAAGTCCTGTTAGCCTTCTCAATCATGTGCTGTAACTGCATTCTAAATTTTTGTGACTCGTGCAGTAAAACACCCAGATCCCTTTGTACCGTTGAATACCACAGTGCTTCTCTGTTGAAGTAATACTGTGTTTTTCCCAACTGCAAAAGTGAACTTCACATATTTTCATATTAAACTACATCTGCAGATTTTTGCCCAATCAATCTACCTATCTATATCAGTCTGCAAACTTCTTGTAAGTTCTTCACCACATAGTTTCCAAACCCTGTTGTCTGCAACTTTATCTGTCATGCCTAATTTCCCCTATTTAAGTAATTAATGTAAATTATTAAAAAAGGATGTGGCTCCTGTGCAGACCCCTGCAGATCTCCACTCATCACACCCTGCTAATCAGACATAGACCCATTTATCAGTCTTTGTTTTCTGCCAGCCAATCTTGTATCCATGCTAATATTATTGCTCCCTACATGATAACCTTTTATTTTCTGCAATAACCTTTAATGTGGCATCGAATCAAATTCATTCTGGAAATCCAAGTACAGTACATTGACAAGGTTCCCTTTATCCACAGCATGTATTCCTCCTTCAGAGAACTTGAGTACATGGGCTAAACATGATTATTTGTGTTTTCCTAATTACATGGCTTAATGATAAAGCCTAATACTGTCCGCTTGGTTAAAATCAAGCTAACTAGTCTAGTTTTCTGTCTCACCTCTTGAATAGAGGGTTTATATTTGCTACTTTCTGGTCAGATGTAACCTTTCTTGAACGTAGGAAATTTTTGAAAATTAGTCCCAATTCATCTCTTATTTCATTAGCCACCTTTTGTCAGACCCAAGGAACAAGTCCATCTAGACCTGGAGACTTTTCAGCCCGTAGTTCCATCAGTTGACTCGGGATCGCTTCCCTAGTGATTGAATTTCACTAAATTCCTCTGTACGTTCCACCATCTGAAGTATAGCAATTATTGGATTGTCTTTTTCTGTTGTCCATAATAAAGACAGAAGCGTGATATTTAACCATTTCATCTGCCATTTCCTTATCTATTATTAACTTCCCATTCTCACTCTTTAGAGGACCAACTTCCTTCACATAATCTGTTGCTTTTTAAGTACCTATGAAAACTCTTGCTATCTGGTTTCACTTTTCTAGCTAGCCTCCTCTCATACTCTAATTTCTTCCTCCTGGTGTAATCTTTCAGTCATCCTGTGCAGTTATGTATGTTCTGACCAATCATCTGACCTGCCATACAACTTTGCAGTTGTATACTTTTTCCTCAAGTTTACTTTTCCTAGTATTTTTAGTTAACCAAAGATGTTGGATCCTCCTTTCCTCTTACAGTAGGAATATACTTATTCTGAGTATTCTGAAATATCTGCCACTGCTTCTCCATTGATCCATTTCCTAGTCTCAGATGTCTGTTCACTTCAGTAAGATCAGCTTTCGTGACCATAGTTGCCTTTATTTATGTTTAAATTATTAATTGTGGACCCAATCATCTCGCTTTCAAACTGGATGTAGTTTTTTTTTTTTTACTTCATTCACGGGATGAGGGCGTCGCTGGCTAAGCAGCATTTATTGCCCATCCCCAATTGCCCAGAAGGCAGTTAAGAGTTAACCACATTGCTGTGGGTCTGGAGTCACATGTAGGCCAGACCAGGTGAGGATGGCAATTTCTTTCCCCAAAGGACATGAGTGAACCAGATGGGATTTTCCTGACAATCGGCAATGAATCATTAGACTCTTAATTCCAGATATTCATTGCATTCAAATTCCACCATCTGCCATGGCGGGATTCGAACCTGGGTCCCCAGAATGTTATCTGGGTCTCCAGATTAACAGTCCAGTGATAATACCACTAGGCCATTGCCTCCCCTTGAAAATTTAATCATAGTGTGGTCACTGCTACTGAGGCGTGCCTTTACTCTCCTGTATCATATTACACAGTACCAAGTTTAATAAAACCTGTGCTCTCTGCTTAAGCAACTATTTCAAAAGCATTCTATGAACTCCTTATCCAGGCAACTACTGCCAGTTTAATTTTCCAATTTCATATGTGGGTTAAAGTCTCCTACAATCACATTGCTTTATCAGAAGTATTCAATATTTCTTCCAGATTCTGTGTCATTGTTCTGCTTGCTGTTATGGGGCTTGAAGACCACTCCCATTACTGATTTCTTCCCTCTTCTGTTCCTGCGGTATCTGTTATAAGCATTTCTCTTTCTCTTTAGATCCCAGGACCTAAGCAGTATTCAGGCAATGGCTGAGTTGACCTTGGCTGACATTATCACCCATACACTCTGTCCCTCCTCCACATCCTAACTTAATGCAGAGGTTTTGGGATCAATTTTACTGCTTATATTGCAAACCTATGGTGTGCTTCTTTGCAAACAGGTATTGGAGTGTGTCCAATCACGTTTCACAATATTCACTAGTCTGTTAAAGGTCTCTCCTTGTGCTTTTACTTTTCCCAGACAACAAAAGACTCCTGGCAGCACGTGTTATCTTCTTTTAAAACTGCACTTGTTCATAACAAGTAGACAATCATAACATGCAGTCCTTGGTAGTGACATCAAAGAAATTCATTTCAGCAAAACCAGTCTCTGTTGTCTTGCACACCCTTTAGAGTAATACCCTTTACTTTATACTGTCTCTCCACCTTTTGTATACTTCAAAATGAACCTCATCTGCCACCTGTCTGTCCACTCCTCCAACATATCAATATTTTTTGAAGTTCTATATTTTGATACCTCTCTGGCCTATAGAACAAGGAATTTTCAATGCCAGTTCTGAAGGAACTTTACAAATGTGTGCATGGTCTGCATAGAAGATGCATAGATTGTGTCAAGTGCCTGTGAATATATGGAGATTTACTGATGTTTAGTTATGCATATTTATTACTTCGTCTGTTTTACCTCCAATAATACCTTGCATTTGCATTGACAAGCAGAAAACAGCATCAGATAGTCCTAAGTAACTAGAGAAAGAAGTAAAGATCCTGTTTCATTTTATCATAACTTCTGACCCCTTCTGAAATGTACTTCCACCCAATGCTTTTGGTACCTATGCCATCCCACTGCTTGTTTGAAGGAACTAGGATTAAAAACTGGAGTCAGGCCTCATTATTCTGTTTGCTTTAGTTGTCTGGAGGTGAACAGGAGCCCACCCTCACTTTTATCGAATTGCTTTGAGATTTAAGGAGGACTCCAAGTTGTGAATGCTTCACTTCTGCATTAATGTGTTTCTGACTCCTTCGGTATTCCAATAGTCCAATTCCACGTGTAGTACAGATTATTTCAGTGGGAAAGACATTTTTAAAAATCTAGCATGTATCTTATTCATTGAATTAATAAGACCTTAAGATATGAGATGTAGGCCATTCAGCCCATTGAGTCTTCTGCCATTCAGTGTGTTCATGCCTGATCCGATAATCCTCAATTCCACTTTCCTGCCTTTTTCCCGTAACCTTTCGTTCTGTCTGTGGTGAATGTCATCAAATAATATATTGCTGTTTGCTTAAAGGGAGCATCTGAACTATTGCATTAGTCTCAGTATTTCCTTGTTAAGCTTTGGTTGTATTCCATTTTCACTGATAATAGTAACCTTACTCAATTACTTCACTATTTTAGAAGCCAAAAGTCTGCAAATACCCTGGGTCTAAATTGATACATACCTGTTCTTATTATTTGTAACTCTTAGTTGACTAAAGCATTTTTTTTCATCTTGAAAGAATTGCCCATGTGTACCTGTAGTTATGTTTGGAGTGGTGGCGGAAGGGAATCTGTCCTTGAGTATTAGTACTGATTTAAATATAAAACAAAAGTGTGAGTACTGAGTGGAACATTTTCCTATTGTCGTTGTGGTGCCGAGAAAGTGGAATATTTGAACATTTACTGTCTCATTTATTGATAATGTCTAAGTAATAAGGCTGTGAGGCTGACTGTCCTTCAGCTTTAAATGCCGGTCGTCTCCAAAGGTAATTTGAGTTAAAATGCTAACCCTGAATGTTACAAAGGTATAGGTTACGGCAGTAGTGAGAATGTAGGTCCTAAGAGTTCACCTGCATGTTAACCAGAAAAGTGGAGATTAAGGGAACTGAAGCAAATACAGCAAGGGCTGGATATTATGCCAGCTTGGACTGAAAATGTATGTTGTCACAAAGCGCAGACACACTAAAAAATAATTAATTGTTTGAAAACTCCTTGTAAATATCGGTTCTTATTTTATTTGTATTCAGTAATATGATGGAACCGAAAGCACATGAATGCAGTGTCCAACACTCTGGCCACAAACAGCATGTGGTTAATTGGGAACTGAAATATGGCTAATTGAATTCCTGATTACTAAATTAAAAGAAAGAACAACAGATATTGGCATGTACATGTGTTCTCAACAAAAGTTTACTTATATGGCATTTGTATATTTACTTAACTTTGGCTCATCATCTCAAATACAAAAATAGTTGAGTGTTAATGAATTTTTACTAATTGTGAGCATGTTACTTTGCTGCAGAATGATGATGGACATTTCAGTAAATACGTTTGCGATGTATTTTTATGTCTTATATATAACGCAAGATGTTTTCCATTTTAAAAAGTGCATTTAGCCACAGAGGGTGGTGCGTGTATGGAATGAGCTCCCAAAGGAAATGTTGGAGGCTGGTACAGTTACAATGTTTAAAAGGCATCTGGGTGGGTACAAGAATAGGAAAGGTTTAGAGGGATATGGGCCAAGTGCTGGCAAATGGGACTGGATTAATTTAGGATATTTGGTCGGCATGACAAGCTGAACTAAAGGGTCTGTTTCCATGTTGTACATCTCTAGGATACTAAGATAGAATGTCATCGCAGCTACAGCTGTACTCAACGATTTTTATTGAATAGTACTGTTTTAAAGGATGCTGATGAAACATTTGTTATTGGGCAATTTTGTCTAACACTAATACTGTTTTTGTTTGGAAAAACTGAGCATTTTCCTTCTATTCAAATTTTAGATTGGCAAGAGCACAATGAGAGATCATCTGCCAGCTCCATGTCGGACTCAAGTCAAGGTGCAACATTTATTTGAAGATGCTGGAAACAGGCGGAATAATGCAACTGCGCAGTCTACTGTTGCTCGAACTTGTAAAACAGCACTCCCTTCACTTAAGGAAAAGAGCCCTGATGGTACAGCATCATCTAAATCAGATGGCATTTTGCCCAAGTCAAAAGCTGCCATATCACCAGCTCAAGCCATGAAGATGCACATGCATCAGTTGTCTTCCTATGAGCATCAGGAAATATTTAACTATCCTGAAGTTTACTTTATGGGCTTAAATGCAAAAAAGCGACAAGGTGTTGTAGGTGGCTCAAACAACTGTGGTTATGATGATGATCAAGCGGCGTACATACTTCTGCCTCATGATCATATAGCATATAGATATGAGATACTTAAAGTTATTGGAAAGGGAAGCTTTGGGCAGGTAGCTAAAGTGTATGACCACAAATCGCAGCAGCACCTGGCATTGAAGATAGTGCGAAATGAAAAGCGGTTCCACCGGCAGGCTGTAGAGGAAATCCGAATTCTAGAGCACTTGAAAAAGCAAGACAAGAACTTGCAAATGAATATTATCCACATGCTTGAAAATTTCACATTCCGCAACCACACCTGCATGACCTTTGAACTGCTGAGCATGAACCTGTATGAGCTAATCAAAAGAAACAAGTTCCAGGGATTCAGCCTGCAGTTAGTACGGAAGTTTGCCCATTCCATCCTACAGTGCCTGGAAGCATTGCAAAAAAATCGAATTATTCATTGTGATTTGAAGCCAGAAAATATTTTACTGAAGCAGCAAGGCCGTAGTGGCATCAAAGTGATTGATTTTGGGTCCAGCTGTTACGAACATCAGCGCGTTTTCACATACATCCAGTCACGATTTTATCGAGCACCAGAGGTTATCCTTGGCATGCGTTATGGGATGCCCATTGACATGTGGAGCTTTGGTTGTATCCTTGCTGAACTATTGATGGGATACCCTCTCTTTCCTGGGGAAGATGAAGGAGATCAGTTGGCCTGTACGATGGAACTTTTAGGGGTTCCACCTCAGAAAATGTTGGATCAGTGCAAAAGAGCCAAAAACTTCTTCAACTCCAAGAATCAACCTCGTTATTGCAGTATCACCACACTCCCCGATAACACTGTTGTTGTGAATGGTGGTTGCTCTAAAAGAGGTAAGCTGCGAGGACCACCAGGTAGCAGGAGCTGGGTGACGGCATTGAAGGGTTGCGATGACTCGCTGTTCATCAGCTTCCTAAAGAGGTGTTTGGATTGGGAGCCATCTAATCGCATAACACCCACCCAGGCTTTGAGACATTCATGGCTAGTTAAACGTTTATCTAAACCACCAACTGTGGAGAAGACTACACCAGTTAAATCTACACCAGATAGCAATAGTTCCTTGCCTGGAATTGTTTCGAAGTTACCCCAAAATCTTGGCACAGGCACCAAACTAAGGACCAATTTGGTGCAGATGGCTGATTCAAATGGAAATAATATACCTCTACGTACTGTGCTTCCAAAATTAGTTAGCTAAGGCTATTGTGTGCTGCAAATTAAACCGGAGAACGTGTCAAATGCAAAAAAAGTTTCTTATATAGGTCTTTTTGCTGGTAAATATTTAACAGGTATTTCCAAATTATGTATTTCAATTTGAAAGAAACTACCGTCATTTCCAATTTGCATTAAAGTGCATAAAATTATTCTTTATCCATCTGACCCACTCAAGACTATTGTAATTTTTAATCTGAATTAAAATATGAATACCCCTAGTTTGAGAATAATATGAAGTAAATGTACTGTGGTTAAATCTCACTTAATAGTTTTAACTACCCTGGGATGAGTGACTGAATATAAAATATTGTGCTCAAGACTTGTTTATGTCAAGTCTCATTTAAGTTCTTTTGGCCACGTTTGATCTTAGTTAAGATTTTCTTTAAAAAATCCATTGTTATTCTTCTAATACAGTTAATTTTATTAATAAGGATCCTATAAGATACCAATAAGTTTCCCATTCCTTTACCTCCGAAATGTACCAGCAAGCTGAATTTTACTTCAATGAGACTTTGGTGGAAATCAAGAAGACTTAACGTCCAGCCACTAACAATCCTGTTCATTCAGTGATTGGGCTTAAAACATTTCGTAATTAATTGCCACTGGATGCCAAATGGCCAATTTTTTTTTTTTGTTGTGTTGTCAGTCACAAAAAAGGCTTGTGAGGTCAGAAAGCTCATTTGTGGTTGGGTACTGCAAACCAGTTCTATTTCAATCTGTCACACACAATATCTAGCTACCATCCTAATCCAGGAATGAACTGTCAGCTCCCCTCTATGCTATGCAACAGAAATCTGTTAATCACCTTTGTGAAAGAAATCAATGCCTTTTATTCTTTTGGATGACAGTTTATTCTATGTGTTGCTTCTGATAAATATATCTCTCTGAACTCTTCAGATAGGGGCTTTCAAAATTTAAATACCTGTTCGTTGTCCTGTGTTCCTCACTTGGGTCCCATCTCTCATTCTGAACTTTAAATGTCCTTGAATGTATAGCACTTTTGGACAAGAAACAATTAATTGGCAAATTTGAGCAAGATTTGTGGCAGCTGAATTTCACCTAGCATTCTCTCATGAGGAAGGAAATTTTAGGATGGGACTTTGTAATACACTGAGTTATTTTGCAATTTTTTTATAATCTCTAGGTGCCATCTTGGAGAAAAATTCAAAAATTTGGCTTTGTAAATGTGCTATTGGGGATTAATATCAGCGGTTGAGTAAGTAGACTAACAAAGTGGGAGTGCAGATGAGGAACACACATGTAGTAAATGCTTTTCACGATGCCAAATAAGCACCAAGGCTTAACCAGAATTCACTATCGTTGCTAACTGATTAGCGATTTACATTCAAAATGATAGCAGAGCAGAGTTTGTGGGTTATGGAATCTAAAGTGTTGCAGAAATCAATAATAATGCAGTGCCTTGATTGCATTACACAGGTGACAATTCATTGCCAGTATAGCAGCCTGATATCTGTAGTGTTAAGGGCAAATACAGCAACATTTTCTTAAAGTCTACACAAAGGGAAATAATGCCAAGAAATATTGAGTGTATTTTTGCTATTACTTGAAATATTGGAAATCTGCAACAAACAGTGCAAAAAGGAATGTTTCACATCAGCACTTTTGTGTTTCTACATGTCAGTTTCTCGAGGATAATTGGGTGAAACCTTTATACAGCCTGACTCTTCACCAATTGTAGTTTGTAAAATTCAGACACCTAAAAGAGGCCTGAAATTGCCTGTCCACAATGCACAGGTTATTTTGGAGTGAAACCATTCACTTCAGGTATGATCCAGATGTCCTCCCCCCTGCATTGGTAAATTTTCATAAATGCTATGATATGTCCTCCTCCAACTGACATTTCCTAACTCAACCATCATCCCATTGAAACAATTTAAAATGTTGAGACAAAACACATTTTTAAACAAGATTCACTAAATCTTGAACATCCAAAGTGCACATTTAAGTACTGCTGTTTGATTACTACAGTGGTTTACAGAGGTTTTAACTTTCCCATTTGATGGGTGTTTTTAATCTTTAGAATTGTACACTTTTCAGGTTTAGCTGATTTAGTTTATGAAATGTTGCAAAAGTAAAATTTTGATAATTGGTCAAATGAAGACCCAAACTATTTACTATTAATAAATTGAACGAACACTTCGTGAAGTCTATTTCTCCTACTTTACAAAGGTATATGGATAAAGACAATCCAATGTTTCAGCATTTTTAAAAAATCTATTGGAATAATTGCAGGTGTAATAAAATTTCAGTTACTGAAATGCTGGATACTGTACTTGCCAAAGAGCATTTTCAATGTGAAACTTAATACGCTCAAATTGTTGACCCCATCTTCGAGGATTGCTTGAAGAAGAAAAAGTTATCTTGCACTATATGCCATGCATGCTGCTGCTGCTTGTTACTACTGTTGGGAAATCAGATTGATGAGCAGAGTTTGGCTTTCCTAAAATGGAACTGAAATCTTAGCCCCCCCCCCCCCCCGCAAAAAAAAACATCAACACCACTTTTCAGTTTTCACTGAGAGGTTGTGACATTTCAAAATGGGATCACAATGGAGGGAAGGTTTGGGAAGTACTGGGCTAGTTGGACCTGGAGTCTACGTTTGTTATTGTGAATGAGTTGGAGATTGAACCATTTGGTGAGTTAATGAAGCAGGTATTTTCCTGCATGCTGATCCTCGTCACTAACTTGTTCTCTGTGCATACAATTAAAGTGGTATGAAGCAGCCACTGTGTTCGTAAACCAAAAGCATATAAAACTGTGATTTTAAGCTTCATGTGTAACTAACTAATGTTTTTCTTGGCATCACAAAGCCATCACTGCCAGTTTTCCAATAAGACAATACTAGATAATTGTTGTTCAATCCATTCTTTATTACAAAGTATAAATGGAAAATCCAATTTTTACCTCAACCCTGAATTGCTGCCTTGAACTAGGTACATACAATTTTAGCAACTTAATTATGTTCAACATGCTGACAATCCAAATTACACCATCTTCTCTTGCATGAGCTCTGTTTCTGTAATCTATCAAATTGCAGCACTCTAAACAAACCACATGAAGCACACTTTTGGGCAATTATGAATAAAATTCAGAAGGTACAAGAAATTTTCACTCTATTATAAATATTTCACAATGCGTTCTGATGAGTCAATTCGGTGCATAGGAAGCTGCTGATTCTCCAATAAATTAAATAGAACTTGCCTATAGATATCGGCATAAATTCTCAGTTGTTGTGGAATTGGTGTTTTTACGTATCCTTTTACAGTGTCAAGTTCAGAAATTCAAATCTGCAGTGGGCAGAGGTGGGTTTTGAAGATCACTCATCAGTGTTCATGGGGTGAGCAGGAGGAACAGCAGTGCAGTTGCATTTTACCTGTACTTGCCTTGACAGTAGCCAACAGGAATCTGTCATAAATTTAACTTTTCAGTCTGAAACTGGTGTCAAAAATGTAGCCTGTCTGGTCCAAAAAAACAGCCATGTGACTTTTACTTGTGCTTGTATTTCATGCTCACTGGTTTCTCTTGTTTTGAGAATCTGGAAAGGGCTATTCTTAATGTTGTAACCTCATTGATGGATAATACTGAAACAGCAAGGGGGTCATTAAGAGTTGTAAAATAACTGAGCAGATCATCTGGCTATTTATAGAGTCTGGCAATGGAGTTCTATAATGGGCAAATGAAAATTGCCTATTAAGATTCATTAGTGTTGTGAACTTGTAATAGATGCAAGTTAATGAAAACATTTCCTTAAACTTGATATTGTTCCTGCAAGGCAATATGGTGTGGAGCCAAGTGTCTTATTGAGATTATGTTTATGGACATGCCAAACATAAGCAAGGTTGTCCTGTAGAGGTGAGTTTACTTTTACAATATGAAAATCTTTACAGCAATTCTGACCAACTTGATTTACCTTCATCAATAGCGTAGCTGATAAAATTATCATTATTGCAAAAGTAAATTTTGGGGAAGAAACAACTGGAATTTCAACGCAATTGTTCCTATAGCAGCACTCAGCAATTGGGTGAAGTAAAAACTTAGCACAGTGCCATAATTAGCTAGGTTTTTTATGTTGTTACAATCTAGTTGATTAATTTTGAAACAGCTAAAGTTTTGCAAGCTATTGGGAGTTGAAACTTATATTGGCAAAATTGGCAAATGTGACTGAATACAAGTTGAACAACTATTCTAATTACTCCAAGGAGGTCATTATGATATGCAAAAAGCTGCTTATCCCTGTCAACTTACTAGCATTTGTGGATTGGACTCGACAGTATTGTTCTGAGCTTAAGCATGCACTCAAAAATTGTCAAACTTTCCTCTAATATAATGTAAGTACAACCTGATTTAGTGCAATGTCAAATATGACCTTTTGAATTTATTTTCTCTTATGTAGATACATTGACTGAAACATTGAAAAGTTTTTCCAGACCAAAATATTCACTTTCATTTAAATATTGCTGTGGATTATCCCCTACAGTGACCTGCATTTATATAACAGCCAAGATGGTTTACAGAAATTACAGAACAAGAATTTGGCACCAAATTGCAAGGAGGTTCTAGACAAGTTGATCAAGAACTCTGGAAGAGATTTCTATTCTTTAAAGGAATTTGAGCATTGCCGGTACTGTTAACATTCATTGTCTGGCCTTGAGAAGGTGGCTTGTATCCCTTGTTCAGAACAGTTAGAGATGACTTAATTGAAACATATAAGGTCCTGAGGGGACTTGACTGGGTGGATGTTGAAAGGAAATTTGTTCTTGTGGGAACATCTGGAACGAAGGGTCATAATTTAAAAACAAGCAGTTCCCCATTTAAGACCATTGAGAAAACATTTTTTTCCTCTGAAGGTTAGGAGTCTTTGGAATTCCATTCCTCAAAAGGCAATGGATGCAGAACCATTAAATATGTTTAAGGCAGAGGCAGAAAGATTCTTGATTCCCAAGGCGATGAAAGATTATTGGATTATGCAGGAATCTAGAGTTGACATTAAAAACAGATCAGCCATAATTTTCTTGAATGACAGAGCAGGCTCAAAGGACCAAGTGGCCCACATTTGTTTTCATTCTGAGCTATCACCTTGAACTGCTGAAGTCTGTGTGCTGTAAGTACAGCAAAGGAAGAGCAATTATAATTCCAAGTCAGGATGATATGAGTAACAGGAAAAAAAAATACAAGTTATGGTATTAAAGAGCATCTTAAAGGAGGCAAGAGATGGAAAGATTTAGGGAGGGAACTCCAGAGTGTAGGACCTTGACAATTAAGGCATGGCCATGCGTGGTGGAGCATTTAAATTGGGAGTGTTCGAGGCAAAATTAATGGTCCATAGAGATCTTACGAGGCTGTAAATGTGGAGGAGAATACAGGGATGGGGAGGGATGAGGCCGTGGATAGATTTGAAAAGAAGGATGAGAATTTTAAAATTGAGGCATCACTAAATAATATAGGTCAGTGAGCAGAAGGGAAATATGGGTGAGTGGTATTTGCTGTGATTAAGTGTACAGTTTGCAAAGTTCTGAATGATCAACTTGTGGAAAGCAGAACTGTGGAGGGACTGATATGAGTGTGTTGGAAGTGACAACGATGTGAATAAAGGTTTCTGCTGCAGAGAATTGAAGGCAGGGTCGACTTGGATGATGTTACTCAGGTGGAAATTGATGGTTATGGTCAGTCTTTAGTTATGTGGTTGGATGCTCATCTTGGGGCTAAATATAACACCAAAATTGCAAACAGTCCCAAACATAAGTGAGGTTCTGTTGTAAAAATGAAAACCGTTGCAGCAGTTCTGGCATAGCTGGATGAAATTAGTGGCAAATTAACAAATTTTAAGACCAGGACAAAAAACAGGAACATTTCTCTTCCCGTATTTTGTTGGAGGATATTTTTCTTCTTCCTCCACTGGAATAGAAGTTTCCATCTCTGTTTAAATTTTTGAGGCTGTATTTTCCTTACGGTCAAATAGGAATTAATTTATAAGTCTCCATTTGAAAATGACAAACATTCTGGGTCATACAAAAATCAAGAGGATTTTCCTTTATCTTTCTACAAAAGGTAGTAAATTGGTGTCCTGGAGTGTTAAAATTGAAAAATAAGGGGAAAGAAAAGCTTTATTTCAAGTAACAAAATCGGAAATCTATAGTAAATAGGTTGGCCAATCATTTGCAACAGCATTTTGCATTTACGTAACACCTTCATTATAGGTTAAAATTCCCAAGGTACTTAACAGTAATATTGTCAAACCCAATTTGACACTAAACCACATAAGGTGACATTAAGACAGACCAAAGGGATAGGATATATGAAAGTAGAAATGCAGGTGGAGTTTACAGCGGGAATTCCAGATCTTACTCTCTCATTCCAAGACTTGAAGACATGGGTTCCAATGGTGGAACAATTAAAATCAGCAATAATTATTACTCCTGTATCATTTCCATCTTCTTTAATGGAATTTTCTAAGCCTTTCACAATATTTCATGTAAAAGTTCAGTGTGGACTGCATTGAATGCAGCCAATCTTTCTTGCAGGCATGTAAAATATTGGAGGCTTGGTGACCACTTTGCGGAACAGCCACGCTCAATTCGCAACAAATAACTACACCTACCAGTCGCGAACCATTTCAACTCGCCCTCCCACTCCTTGGACGACATGTCCACCCTGGGCCTCCTGCATTGCCACAATGATGCCACCCGAAAGCTGCAGGAACAGCATCTCATATTTCGCTTGGGAACCCTGCAGCCCAAGGGTATCAATGTGGACTTCACAAGCTTCAAAATCTCCCCTCCCCCGACCGCATCCCAAAACCAGCCCAGCTCGTCCCCGCCTCCCTAACCATTCCTCCCACCTCAAGCCCCACCCCCATCTCCTACCCACTAACCTCATCCCACCTCCTTGACCTGTCCGTCCTCCCTGGACCGACCTATCCCCTCCCTAACTCCCCACCTACACTCACCTTTACTGGCTCCATCCCCGCCTCTTTGACCTGTCTGTCTCCTCTCCACCTATCTTCTCCTTTATCCATCTTCTATCCGCCTCCCCCTCTCTCCCTATTTATTTCAGAATCCCCTTCCCCTCCCCCATTTCTGAAGGGTCTCGACCCGAAACGTCAGCTTTCCTGCTCCTCTGACGCTGCTTGGCCTGCTGTG